AACTCACTCTATAGACCAGGCTAGCCTTGAACTCAGGGATCTGCCTGCTTCTGCCTCTGAAGGGACAGGATTGAAGGTGTGTACCACTTCTGCCTGGCTTTAATGAATAAATTAATCTTAGTTATAGTCTAAGTTTTTTCCTGTGCTTATATCTGATCTAACTCCCAAATGATGTAAGAAGATTAGACTCAGGTGTAGAATCAAATTACTGACTTAATCTGGGAGGGTGTGACTACAAAGGGGCGGGGTCAGTGGAAAGGGCTATAAAGAGAACAGCCAGAGAAGCCCTCAGAGTCTCAGAGGAGCCACAACGTTTCCCTGCCTGGATTTGGAGGCCTCTCACCAGTGTCCAACTCAGGATCATTATTCCTGAAAACCAGTCACAATGGGAAGCCAAACCCCACCAACACTCAAGCAGCTAGTGATAGAGAGCCTACTGAAGAAGGAGGAGGCCTTGGCCATGTTTGCTGCTGTGGCGGGCCTGCCCCGGTCGCTGATCCCAGAAATGTTTGAGGTGGCCTTCAGGAACAATCAGACCAACATTCTGCGGGCCATGGTACCTGCCTGGCCATTCACATGCCTTCCTGTAGGAGCCATGATGAAGACCCCACACCTGGAGACTTTGAAGGCTCTGCTTGATGGACTAGATGTGCTGATGTCAGAGGAGGCTTGCCCCAGAAGGGGGAAAATCAGAGTGCTGGATTTGACAGATGTGGACTCTGATTTCTGGAGCATATGGGCTGGGACGTATAAAAAGGACTGCTGTCATCACGACATGAGACAGAAGAAGAAGCCAGAGGAGACGTGTCCTTACTCAGGGCTGAAGAACTATTTGAACATAGTAACTGACCTCAAACTTGTGAACAGCCAGCTCGACGAGTGTGCCATGTACTTGTGGCAATGGGCCCAGCAGAGAAAAGGTTCTGTTCATTTATGCTGTCGAAAGCTTGAGATTTTGGAACCATGTTTGTCCAATGCCATCGACATCTTGCGGTCAGTAGATCTCCACTGTATACGTGAGCTGAACGTAAGAGATTTATGTTTAGAAGACATGACTCTTTTTGGACCATACCTGGGACAGATGAGAAACCTTCACACACTCATGCTGGAAAGCATCGTGAATACTTTTGGGATCGGTGAGGCTGAAGATCTGGAAGACGAGTGGATGAACTCATTGTTCTCACAGTTCTCCAAATTGCACTGCCTCCAGCATCTCTATGTAGATGATATTTATGTTCTAGTTGGCAGCCTGGAAGAGTGGCTCGGTTGCCTGAAGAAGCCCTTGGAGACCCTGTCCATAACTTTCTGTCACCTCATACAGAGAGACCTGGATTACCTGCCCCAGTGCCCAAACCTTTCTGGGCTCAGGCATCTCACCCTTAGTCACACAATTCTTGGAGAATGGTTTGAACCACTTGGAAAGCTCCTCGAGAGAGTCAAAGACACCTTGCAAACTCTGGATTTGGAGAAATGTTGGCTGGAGGATTCTGCATTTAGTGCTTTTATGCCTGCCCTGAGTCAATGCTCCCAGCTCCTTAGGATCAATTTTTCCAATAATAAACTGTCTCTGCCCCTCCTGAAGCAACTCCTTCACCACACAGCCAAACTGAACAAGCTAACGGAGGAGCTATACCCTGTCCCTCTGGAGTGCTATGACAATAGAGGTCTTCAAGAGAGATTTGACGAAATATGTCCTGAGCTTCTGGATATACTCAGGTCTGAAAGACAGCCCAAGGCAGTCAGTTTTAAGTCCACCATCTGCCCTATATGTTCTCAGTCCTGTGTCTATGTCCTGGAAAACAGACATTGCCTTTGCTGGTAATAAACTGGGGAAGGTTGCTGCTTGGTACCAAGAATCAGATTTTGGACTGGAGAGATGGCTTAGTGATTACAAAGCAGGCTTGTTCTTGCAGAGGATCCAGGTTTGATTCCCAGCACCCACGTGGGGCCCTTCATATTCTGTGATTCCAGTTCCAGAGGATCCAGTGCCTCTGGCCTCTGTGGGCACGCAAACTCATACACACCCACACAGAGACAAATAATTAAAAACAAAGTAAACCTTTTAAAAAGCCAAATATTTTTCAATCATGATGGAGGAAGGTCATTGGTTAATTATAATAAAGAAACTGCTTGGCCCTCATAGGTTAAAACATAGGTGGGAGGAGTAAACAGAACAGAATGCTGGGAGGAAGAGGAAGTGAGCTCAGAGGCCATGCTCCCCTCTCCCGGGCAGACGCATAGCTCTGCTCTCTGAAGCAGACGCACGCAATGAAGCAAGCTGCCAGGTCAGACATGCTGAATCTTTCCCGGTAAGACGGGTGCTACACAGTTTATTAGAAATGGGTTGATCGGGATATCAGAATTAGTCAGTAAGGGCTAGAGCTTATGGGCCAAGCAGTGTTTAAAAGAATATAGTTTCCGTGTAATTATTTCAGGTAAAGCTAGCTGTGCGGGCGGCCGGGGTGCTGGGGACGCAGCCCTGTAGTAATAGGGGCAGCGGGGCTGCGTCCCCAGCACCCCAGCTGCCTGCTCAGCTAGCTTATGACCCGAAATAATTACACGGACACTGTATTCTTTTAATAACTGCTTGGCCCATTTCTATCTAGCCTCTTCTCGGCTAATTTTCACACCTGGACTAGCCCATTTCTAATATTCTATGTAGCACAGCTAGGTGCGCTTACCGGGAAGATTCTAGCCCACGTCCATCCTGGGTCGGAGCTTCATTGCGTGCATCTGCCCAGGAGCCAGGAGCATGGCGTCTCTCTGAGGCGTCTACTCCCAAGAGGAGAGCTGTGGAGTCTGAGCTCACTTCCTCTTCCTCCCAGCGTTCTGTTCTGTTTACTCCACCCACCTAAGGGTGGGCCTATCAAATGGGCCTAGCAGTTTCTTTATTGCTTAAACAATGAAATCAACAGATTGATATATGACACTCCCACATCACAGCCCCGCTGCTCCTATTACAACAGAGTGGTTTGCGACTTACACCTTCACAATCAGAAGCTTTTTTTTTCTTTTTTTCTTTCTTTTTTTTTTTTTTCGAGACAGGGTTTCTCTGTGATTTTGGAGCCTGTTCTGGAACTAGCTCTTGTAGACCAGGCTGGTCTCGAACTCACAAAGATCCGCCTGCCTCTGCCTCCCAAGTGCTGGGATTAAAGGCGTGCGCCTCCACCGCCCAGCGCTTTTTTTTTTTAAAGCAGTTGATTATAAGTGATTAATGGTCAGAGTCAATTTCTAAAAAAGGAGGGGAATATAATATAAAGATGAATACTTTGCATTCAGTATAAATTTTGGTTTATGTAAGGTCAGTTTTGTTATATGTATATTTCTACTTTTGTTTAAGGTATTATGCTAATACAGCTCATGTAAAATGTAATGTATAATTTAAAATGACAGATTAATAGATATAATCTATAATATCAAACTGTAGTCAGTTTAGTTAGCTTTTCTAGATATACAGAGATATATTTCAGTTGGATAATCTTCAACACTTCAAAGACCTATGGCATATGACATTTAAAATGTTTTAAGAACTTAGACGTTTCTCAGCAGTGGCTAGTGGGAACGAGAAAGACTTACTACAAATGAGCCCCATGTTGGACGCTATTTGCAGTGAGTCTTTCTCTTTCCCACCTGCCAACTCCCAAACAATGACATGGAGACTTCTTGTTAATTATGAAAGCTCGACTGATAGCTTAGGCTTGTTTTTCAACTAGCTCTTATAACTTACATTAATCCATTTATATTAATCTACACTCTATCATGTGGGCATTACCTCTGCATCTTGCACCTCCTGTTCCCTTTCCAGGTCTCCTGGCCTCTCCTGTGTGTCTAAATTCGCCTCCTCTTCCTTTCTCTCCCTGAAAAATCCCACCTATACCCCCTGCCTAGCTTTTCGCCATTCAGCTTCTTATTACACCAGTCACAGCAAATACATCTTCACACAATGTACAAACACCCTACAACACGGAGGTGCTGCTGTGAACCAAGGGAAACACGGAAAGCTACATCTAATGAGGACACAAACAAGCCTGTGATATCGTAAGTACTACAATGGAAACTTTATACAGCTGTTAGGGGTAGGGACAATCTAGGCAGGTCATGGTAGTGTGATGGAGAACTCCACGTTTTCCTCTGCTCTCTACACCACCAACAGTCTTGTCTTGTGGTTCCAAAAGAGAAAAATTCAGACATAGGTGTAAAGGACACAGGAGTAAAGCAATCAAGTTTTATTTTTGCCGGGCGGTGGTGGCGCATGCCTTTAATCCCAGCACTCGGGAGGCAGAGGCAGGCGGATCTCTGTGAGTTCGAGACCAGCCTGGTCTACAAAAGCTAGTTCCACGACAGGCTCCAAAAACACAGAGAAAACCTGTCTCGAAAAACCAAAAAAATAAAGACTTTTATTTTTGCACATATTAGTATTTTGCTTGCATGCATGTAATGTAGTGTGTGTGTGTGTGTGTGTGTGTGTGTGTGTGTGCGTGTGTGTGTATGCTGGGATGGTCAGAAGAGGGCTTTTGGACCCCCTGGAACCAGACCTACACATGTTGTGAACTGCAATGTGGGTGTTGAAGACGGAACTCGGGTCCTCTTTAAGGGCATCAAGTTGTCTTAACCACTGTGCCATCTTTCCAGCCCTGCAGTAAAGAGTTTTAACTAGAGCAAGGAAGGAAGTGAAAGTAAGCTCTTTGGGAAAAATCAACTGGAGCAGAGTAGGAATGGCTGCTTCCTGGCAGACGTGGGGTTTAGATTTGTCCTTTATCTGTTATCCTCTCCCTGCCCCCCCAAAAGAGGGTGCTTAAAAAAAGTGGCATGTGCCAGGCAAGGTGGCGCTGCTTTAATCCCAGCACTCGGGAGGCAGAGGCAGGTGGATCTCTGTGAATTTAAGGCCAGCCTGGTCTACAGAGCTAGTTCCAGGATATTCAGAGCTGTTACAAAGGGAAACTTCATGGCATCCGCAAGGTTATGTAGTAAATTAGCTGACATTTAGAAGACCTAATTACCAGAGATTGACACATCTGATGGAGGATAAACTCACATAGGCATGACCCCTGAAAAGTACTGCCTTTTGAATGGCCGGCCGTCTCTAACTGCAGATTCTCTTGTGTGATGGCATGCTCCCCGGCAGGGTCTTTCTCTTACTTCGGGCAAAGTTTTCCTGTGTTCTGTTAGGAGGATGACTTTCTCCCCAAACTGTGTATTCTGGCAAATAAAATAAGACAGTCAAACCTTGCAATAAAAAAACAAAACAATGGGCTGGAGAGATGGCTCAGAGGTTAAGAGCACTGGCTGCTCTTCCAGAGGTCCTGAGTTCAATTCCCAGCAACCACACAGTGGCTCACAGCCATCTGTAATGAGATCTGGTGCCCTCTTCTGGACAGCAAGCATACAGAACACTGTAAACATAATAAATAAATAAATCTTTAAAAACAAAACAAAACAACAACAACAAACTTAGAAGCCTGCTCTCTGTAATGAACTCCCCAACAGGATGGTTTGGCCATATAGAAGTCCTTGCGGGGTGATCACAGGAGGAGCTTTCACAGAGCAAACTGCAGGTGTCTGGCTTTGCTAATCTAGGTCCCTCAAAGATTTATGACGAATTAGGGCAGTACTGCAGGTGTCTGTCCTTGTTAGAGCACAGTCCTTCAAGAGATCAATAGCACCTAACTAACCATGTCCAGATATTACTAATCACTCTTAAGAAATGTAAAATAGTAGACGTATTCTTCGCCTCAGACTAGTTTCTTCCCTTTGTAACCCCTTTAAGAGATGGCCAGGACCTCCTCACAGCAGTGGCTGTGGTTGGCTACAAACTAGCTGGTAAGTGTTGCTAGGGTTCTTCAAAGAATGCCTGTGGCCCTCAGAATTTTCCTTGCAATTTTTTTTCTTACTAACAAGTCGCTAATATATATTATATATATGGGAAATATATATATATATATATATATATATATATGGGAATTTGTAACAGCAGAAGAAATTACTGAAAGAGTGAAGAATGCAGACGGATAAAGAATGTAGGAAAATAGAAACAGAAGGAGAAGAATGAACGTAGAGTAATTAGAACAAGAATGAATTGGAACAGAGATTTGTTACAGAGAATTGGAATTGAGACAGAATTAGAGCTAAGAAATTATAGACAATTAGGACAAGCAAATCAGAATTAGTGCAGAGCCATAAGGGGGCATGACTGGAACTGCAAGCACGTGAGCTCATTCCATTCCCTCTCAGACTAGAGGAAGTCAGCGGGCTTTGGATAGAAACCCTGTCTTGAACCCCCCCCCCCAAAAAAAAGTGGCTAAGCTCGTTTTACTCATTCTAAAAATAAACATTTAAGCTGTAAGAATATGACTAGAGGTTTGGCCAGGCGGTGGTGGCGCACCCCTTTAACCCCAGCACTCGGGAGGTGAATCCCTGTGAGTTTAAGGCCTGCCTGGTCTACAAGAGCTAGTTCCAGGACAGCTAGGACTGTTACACAGGGAAACCCTGTCTCTGAAACACCACCACCACCAACAACAACAACAAAAAAAAGAATATGTTTAGAGGTTTAAGGACCCTTAACGTTGCAAAGTTCCTAGAGGAAGAGGTAGCAGAACTCTAGGCATGATCCCTTATCCAGAAAGCCCCTGAGGCCAGTTTAAGCTGGGCTAACTAGTAGACCACCACTATCTATTGTTCTTTACACCCTCTTGGGGGACCCTGGGCTGCCTCTGAAGAGACCACTATCCCCTATTGTTCTTTACGTCCTGCTTTAGTGAGGTTGGGGGTCATTCCCTCCCCAGAGTTGACCTCCTCCCTTACACTAAGGCATGCTCCAAGGAGGAGGCTGTGGAAGAGCAGAGCGCCAAAGCAGAGCGAGCAGGGCGGGGCTTTCACGCAGACGCAGGAATATCACGTGTGAAAACAAAGGGGTGTGCTACACCAGTACCTCTGCGTAGCTGCAAACCGCGGGGAGAACTGCGGGCTTGGGCCTGAGGAACTGTACCTGCGCAGATTTCTTCCCTGCTCAGAGTCGGCCTTTGACAGTCGGAGGCTCAACAATATCATTTGCCACACAATTTTCCGCCGAAAAAGACTGATAAATCCACCCAGCTTCCATTTTTTTTTTATTGACAAACGCACGCAGGCTTTAGAGAATTGAAACTATTTGTCTCAGGTAAAAAGCCTTGGGCGACACTAGAAAGCTGACTCTAGTCCGCGGATTTTTCTCTGCCTCCCATCCTGAGGCTTTGCCTACCGCTATCAAACCCTCTGTGAGCTCTGGTACTGTTTGACTTGTATCAGAGCAGACTACGTTTCCCATAATGCCTCGGGCCCAGCTTCCCGCCCACTGCCCAGCTGGACGCTGCCTCCACCAGTAGCGGAGCAGAGTTTCCAGGTACTGTCCTGAGCAGCCAATGGGTGAGGGGGTGGGCGGGCCTCTCCCGTCCATTGTTCTCCGTACCCCACGGGCTTGAGCTGAGGTGACTCCAGAGGGGCCGGGCCGGACCGAGGGGCGCTTTTGCGCTGCGGAGCGACTGAGGGAACAGGATCTGGTCCCCGAAGAGGCCAGCGTGAGAGGCAGGTCTGGAGCCGCGCGCCCCTCGGGGAACAGTCAGAGAGACGCGCGAGTAACGGGCCTGGAGCCAGCTGAGGCAGCTTGGGGGAGGGGCGTGGGTGTCCGCGCCTGGCGGCTCGGGGCTCAGCTCTGCACCTCGGTTCCTCCAGGCCCGCGGAGTTCTGCTCTCACCAGAGCCCCGCGCACACGCAGCCCAGGAACGCAGCTTTGCACTGGGAAAGGATGCTCGACCACATCCCGCCGAGCCTCCTCCTTGTCCGGATGGGGAAACTGAGGTTCCGAGGGGGCGTGTCGGCTCCCGCTTTAGCGAATGGGCTGTCTAGGGTTCAGTGTGCCGGTGCTGCCAGGGAACAATTCCGATGTATTTGTTTCTCATGTAGTCATTTGGACAAATTGACACTAGAAGCAATTTTTATTTTTTTTATTGCTTTTATTGCTGTTCGGTTTTTACTTTTGTTATTTTCATGAGGGTGGGAAGGCATGTTATCTGAATCTATGGTGTAATGATTTTTTTTCTTTTTTATTCTTTTTTTGGTTTTTCGAGGCAGGGTTTCTCTGTGTAACAACCCTAGCTGTCCTGGAACTTGCTCTATAGACCAGGCTGGCCTGGAACTCACAGATCCGCCTATGTCTGCCTCCTGAGTGCCAGTATTAAAGGCGTGCACCACCACCGCCAGGCTGGTATAATGATTTTTAAAAAATAAATAGCATTGCTTTCATACTATTTAAATAGTTTTTAATTTGGTAAATCCTAGGTGATGGTGCACTCATCTCAGTACTCAGGAGGCAGGGCAGGAAAATCAGGAGTTCAAGGCCATCTGGCTGTGTAGTGAGACCTTGCTTTAGAAACAAAAACAATGTCTGAACTGAACCTGTAGGGACTTTTTCTTGTTATTATTCCCGAGCTGTACAGTGTAACAACTGTTTACATAGTATTTACGCTTGTATATGTTGTCTAGAGATTACTGAAAGTATATAATACACCATTTTCTCTAGGGGCTTGAGCATTAACAGATTCCAGAATCCCTGAGATTCCTGGAACCTGTTCCCTGACCACTTCCTTTGAAATATAGCAGGAATGCCTTTTCCTCGGGAAGTGGGGAACACATTGACATATGCTCTATTGCTAATCAGTAAGATGTCCCATGTGATAAGGATGAGTGTTATTTATTAAGTGGTCACTGAGGTTGAATGACTGACGTCTGTTGACTTCGTCTGAACTGACTTAGGGCCGGATATACTAGTTCTGTTTCCCTCACCCGGAACATTGCTCTCCTACCTCTCATTCTTTGGCCTTCTGTGAAGAACGGTGCTGTGTTATTATCTGTGTGTATATGTGTATGCGGTATTTTTTTTGCAGCGAAAGTCTCAGTTTTCAGGAGTAAGGTAGCAAGCCTCTGTTGGTTTTGAATGTAAGGCTGCTGCTGTGAGTTAGGGTGGTCGTAGGATAGCGTCCTTTAGTGATTCTGGTTCTCTGTCTTGTTTCTCAGCAGTGTTTTTGGTTGAGCGTGGAAAAGGAGTTGCCTTCTCTGAGAGCCTGCCTGGAGACAGGTGTAAGGCTTGAAGCTTGGTCATCCAGGAAGCTGGACAATGGCAGCCGAAGAGCCAGCAGTGACCACTCCCCTCAGCCCTTTGGTTCAGGTACCTCAAGAAGAGGAAGATGAGCAGGCAGAGGTCACCACCATGATTCTGGAGGATGATTCCTGGGTGCAGGAAGCCGTGCTGCAGGAGGATGGCCCTGAGTCTGAGCCCTTTCCCCAGAGTGCTGGAAAGGGCAGCCCTCCGGAGGAGGGTGCATCCGGAGGACCTCAGGGTGCGCTTGTCCGATTTCGGGAGCTCTGTCGGCGCTGGCTGAGGCCAGAGGTACACACTAAGGAGCAGATGCTAACCGTGCTGCCAAGGGAAATTCAGGCCTGGCTGCAGGAGCATCGGCCTGAGAGCAGCGAGGAGGCTGTGGCCCTGGTGGAAGACTTGACCCAGACTTTTCGGAACAGGGGTAAGACGCAGAACCTCATAGGGAGGGGGCGGGAGCCTCCCGAGGTGGAGCGGTGTAATGTTTGAGCAGGCGCAACTGGTCTTCACACAAAGTAGGGGATGGCGCTTGTCTCTCCCTGCTGTCTGTGGCATTCAGCAAGATCTTAGCTTTTTTAATACCCTCACTGTGTGCAGTGGTAGCTCCAGAATTCAGTGTGAGGGGCTTGGAGGGCTGTTCTTGGAGCTTCATTTGCATACTAAGCAGAACTTTGACTTCTTTTTGTGGGAGGTTGGGAAGCTGATTGAGATCTTGGGGTGGTCTGGAATAAAGTTCAGTGGTAAACAAAATGCTTGCCTAGAGTGACAGAGGTTATCTGGAAGCTAGTTTTGTGCTCGTGATTTTTAATTTCCCTTGTATGGACAGAAAGTGGTAGTTTTTTTTGTTTTTTTGGTTTTTTTTGCTTGTTTTATTTTTAAGATAGGGTCTCATTATGTAGCCCCGTCTGGCCTGAACTCCCTGTGTAAACCAGGCTGGCTTCAGATTTACAGAGATCTGGCCTGCCTATGCCTCAAGAATAAGACATTCTTCCCTTAAGAAGACTAGAAAGTTTCTGTTGGTTTGCAGGTAAGCACAAAAGTGACGTCTGTGATCCACCCCTTGGTCCTTTCGGTTGTCTGTAAGCATTCACATAGTTCCAACAATTAGAAAAAAAAATGCATTTTTTTCCAAAGTGGTCATTGAATGAAACCATGATAAACAACAAGTAAACTGTCTGGACTTTCTGTTGTATGACGTTATCGTTAGACCCTTAAAAGTTAGTTTTTGGTCAGGCATGGAGGGGCCCACCTGTTATCCTAGTATTCAGAATTGAGGCAGGAGGATTGCAAGCTAGGTCTCTGTATATAGAATAGCTATCATCTGGAGAAAGAAAGAACAAAAGGTAATTCCAGACAAGGTCTTTACAGGGGTTTCTATCTGCTGTGTTAGTAATAAATTCTGGATCCTTTGTCCATTTAGCTATTGTGTTTGCATTTGGCTCTGTACTGTAAACTGTGCTCATTTGGCTACCCAGTATTTACTTCACTTCTGCCTTTCCCCTAGGACCATGTCAGCACCCGTAGGGTGTGGCTGCTTTGTGCTCGTGAAGTACTTGACTTTAGAAAGGAGTAGATAGAGGACAGGCCAGATCAGAAGCCGTGGACCATGCGTAGGAGGTTGCAGAACAGAGTAGAATTTGGAAAGTCACAGGGCGAGGAGGAAGCTATGACAGCTGAGAGGAGCTGTGTTCAGCCAAGGCTCTGAAGTGGGAGAGCCGAGGAAGGTTTCTTCAGGTGACAGGGAGGCAGGCTTGCTGATTGGAAAGTGTGTTTTTAGGAAGTGGTGGGAGTTTGGGGGAAGGGAAGACAGATGGAGTTTGAATTAAACGTCATTGGCCTTCGCAGGTTCTTGAACCAGGGCCTATGGAACATGAGAGGAAGCTGAGTTTGGCAACAGGATGTAGGTTTGATTAGATTGGGGTGGGCTAGAGAGCAGCCAGGAAGCAGCCTGTTCATGGGATGTGCAGGGATGGGGTCAGGAGGAGGGGGAGAGTGTGGGGTGTGCAGTGATGGGGTCCAGAGGAGGGGGAGACTGTGGGGTGTGCAGTGATGGGGTCCAGAGGAGGGGGAGACTGTGGGGTGTGCAGTGATGGGGTCCAGAGGAGGGGGAGACTGTGGGGTGTGCAGTGATGGGGTCCAGAGGAGGGGGAGACTGTGGGGTGTGCAGTGATGGGGTCAGGAGGAAGAGGGGGAGACTGTGGGGTGTGCAGTGATGGGGTCAGGAGGAGGGAGAGACTGTGGGGTGTGCAGTGATGGGGTCAGGAGGAGGGGGAGACTGTGGGGTGTGCAGTGATGGGGTCAGGAGGAGGGGGAGACTGTGGGATGTGCAGTGATGGGGTCAGGAGGAGGGGGAGACTGTGGGGTGTGCAGTGATGGGGTCCAGAGGAGGGGGAGACTGTGGGATGTGCAGTGATGGGGTCAGGAGGAGGGGGAGACTGTGGGATGTGCAGTGATGGGGTCAGGAGGAGGGGGAGACTGTGGGGTGTGCAGTGATGGGGTCATGAGGAGGAGGAGAGACTGTGGGATGTGCAGTGATGGGGTCCAGAGGAAGAGACTGTGGGTTGTGCAAGTTTGGGCTGAGGAGGGGTCTGTCTGGGGGTTATTTACCTAGGGACATCACAATTGGTGCCATTTCTCGGCCTGTATCTCACGTGATCGCAGCACTTGCTGTCGACTTCATGGTGTCTTCACTTTTCACTGCTCATCTAGGATGGGGGTTCCCCCCGAGGAAGCAGGGTGTCACCCCTGACTTCTGCCTTAAGATTATCTCTGTTGTGCTCACCTTTGATCCCAGCACTCCCGAGGCAGAGGCAGGCAGATCTCTATAAATTTGAGGGCAGCCCAGGTTACACAGAGAAACCGTGTCTTGGAAAAAAAAAAAAGATTATCTCTGTTGGTCTTCATTTGAGAACATGGAGAACATGTGTGCCCTTCTTCCTCATAGTTGCTCACAGGAATCTTTACACTTTCCTTCATTCCTTCTCGAACATTTGCCCTACCCTGGACCCTGTACCAGCCGGCCTCTATTCTGTTTGTTAAGATGAAGGTCTTAGGGTGTATTTACCCAGGAAAGGGCATTTCAAGGCCTGGTTAGTCATTGTTTAATATTTGACTAAGAGGCACCTCTGGGTGTTCACGGCTAAAGTGTCCTGTAATTTCAGTTAAAGCCATAGCTCTAGTAATAGTTTACATGTAAAGCTCGTCTCTGCTTGTCCGTGTCTCCTGTGGGTGTTTTAATCCTGTTCCACTCCTAAATCAGACTTTTGGATTTCTTGGCTGAATTTTTGCAGTCCTCGCCTCTAGACTAAACCTCCTTCTAGCCTCTTACCCCTCACCCAAAGCTCCTCCACATGTCCCAGAGCCGTCTGCTTGAAACTCCCCAGGCTTCCGCCCTCGCCCGCCTAACCAAGTGACCTCCTCCTTCTTCAGGACATTTGCAGTCTCTTTGAATTTTTGTTATTTGCTGGCTTTCTGTTTTGAGATGAGGCCTTGCTGTATCTTGTGTCTAACCAGGGCTGACCTTGAACTCATCATTCTCCTGCCTCAGTCTTGACTTTTTACCAATCTTTTTATTGTTATTATTTATATGCTCTTCTTATTTCTTTTAGGAACTTAACAAAATTCCCAAAGGCCAGTGACCTTGTCCTCTCTTCTTCTTCCTCTTCCTGGTTCCCTCTCACTGTAAGAACTCAGTCAGTACTGTTGGAATGAATATAGGAAACTTTTTTTTTTTCAAGACTGGGTTTCTCGGGGGCTGGAGAGATGGCTCAGTGGTTAAGAGCATTGCCTCCTCTTCCAAAAGTTCAATTCCCAGCAACCACATGGTGGCTCACAACCATCTATAATGGGGTCTGGTGCCCTCTTCTGGCCTGCAAGCATACACACAGACAGAATACATAATAAATAAATAAATATTTTTTTTTTTAAAAGAAAGACTGGGTTTCTCTTTGTAACCCTGGCTGTCCTGGAACTCACTCTGTAGACCAGGCTGGCCTCAAACTCAGAGATCCACCTGCCTCTGCCTCCTGAGTGCTGGGATTAAAGGTGTGCACCACTACCACCTGGTTAAGCTTTGATTATAAAGATGTGTTTTTATTTTCACTTATATATGCAAGTGTTTGTACAGAGGTGTGATAGATGAGAGCAGTTGCCCATGGAGTTACTCTAGAGGAGTTATAGGTGGTTGTGAGCCTCCTGACATGGGTGCTGGGAATCCAATTCAAGTCTACTGTGAGAGCTATCTGAGCTCTTAACCACTGAGCTACCTTTCCAACCCCTAAGCTTCAATTCTGTAAAACAAAATTGGGTCAAGTTCAAGTCTGGCAAAGCATAGCCAGGGATACTTCGGACTCTTCGAAGGAAGATTGGTAGGACATCTGTTAGGGAAATGCTCAGGCCAATGGACAAGCCAGGCAGCTTAGCTTCATGAAGGAGCTCCCTTAGCCTACACTGTTTTCATTCCCAGAAGCCCCCTCATTCAGGCTCAGCAAACCCAGTGAGTATGTAACATGTATCAATAAAGATATTTTAAAGCAGCATCTTTATGAGTTTTGGAGTGTTTTTCCCACTTCTCAAATCAGAGAGACTCAAGGACATGGTCCCTATGTGGCCTAAGTATCATTTGTTGGGTCACCCTTTCATCTGGTGCCCTCTAGACCAGCCGCAGGTGTGAGACGACATTTCCTTGAGCAGACAAGGTTGGAGTTGGAGAGTTATGGAGAATCCACATTGGTTGGGGAAGACAGTGAAAACCTCTCAAGCTGAAGAGCTGGCTGTTGTGGGTTACAGTGTCCCTTGATGGAAAACGAGGCTGAATGATCAAACCTCAGAGTACAAGGCTGAGGAGACACCTTACTGCTCCTGCAGAGGACCGAGTTTAGTTGCCAACACCCAGATGACAGTTTACGAACATCCATAACTCCAGTTCCCGGGGCTCTGGTACCCTCCTGTCCTCTCTGGGACACAGGTATGCACATGGCGCACATATGCACATGCAGGCAAATGCTCATAACATAAAGGTCACAGGCTGATCATTGCTCCTGGGGGAGACTATCTCTCAAGTGACTTGGGGCTTGCTGAGTGACCACACTGTCCTTGTTTGATGCATGTCTCAGCCTACTGAGGACCTATCCAAAGACCACTCATACAAAGCAGAAGTTAACTTCTCTAACTGGTTACAGATTATTGATGTAAAAAACAGAATGTGTTTTGGGGGCGGTGCTTTTTGAGACAGGGTTTCTCTGTGTAGCCCTGGCTGTCCTGGAACTCTCTCTGTAGACCAGAGTGGCCTTGAATGTAGTCACCCCAGTGCTGGGATCAAGGCCTGTGCCGCCACTGCCTTTGTGTGTTTGTGTTTCCCCCTTCAAAGGCTTTGGTGAATGAGACTCGGGTTTTCCAGAAAAAAAACAAAAAAACAAAAAACAA